AAAAAAAATACTTTACACTAAGGGCTTGTTCACACCATGTCCAGATCATGTCCAGACCAGAACAGTTTGTTCCCGGACCAAAAAAGCATCTCAATGTATCCCTATGGCATTTCTGGGCTCTGTTCACACCAGCACAGTCCATTCTGGTCCAGACAAAAAAAAATACTGCTTGTCTTATTTTCTCTGGTCTGGAATGCACTGGAACACATGGAAATGCTTAAACAACGCATACAAAGGCATGCAAATTGAAAAAAGCTTCAAAATCGCAGTAAAATCGCACTGTACTGTGTTTGCAGATCTGCTCCAGATCTGGTCCAGACATGGTGTGAACATAGCCTAAAGCCAGAGCTGAGTTATATATTCAAACTTTCTAGTGAAAAAGCAGGTTAGGATAAGCATGACTCCTGAGGACGCAAAGCTACACACCACTGATCCGTACAACTGAAAACTTTATTAGTCCAGCAGCAGTAGGAACCAAGGACATCCAGCTCATGTGTTTTGCCTTCAATTGGGGCTTAATTTTAGAGCTCTACAATTAGGACCACATAGGGGACAAAATGCATAAGTAGGGGTCTGAATAGAACATCTCCCTGCTAACTCTTCCGCTGTCTGCAATGCTGTAGTGTAGAGAAATTATGTATCTGAAGTCTCTTTAAAAACTGACACTTCCAAGAGCATGGATTTTCCCAGTGTGTGCAGCAGTTTATCCCAAATGCTACATAAATTATACAACATAGACAAAGTAGAATTCAGCAACAGAAACCACTGAGCACAGCAGTGGTTAAAGAAACTGACAGTTTTGGTTTCTGTCAGTGGCTGAGCTATTGCCATAGCAACCCAGGCGGCCGCTATGGGGCCCGGGGCACAGCCAGGACGAGAAACAAAGGGGTCCCCCTGATGACGTGCGGGCCGTCTGGGTCGCTATGGCATCGCAGGCTGCTGGCTGTCACTGGCAGCTCTGAGGAGGAATGCACCGCTGTTCAGATCACTGGCAACTTGTCAGTGATCTGTGCAGCGGCGCGTTGCTCCCCAGAGCCGCTGCAGAGTCAGTGACAGCCAGCAACTGTGGTGGAGGAGGCCGGGGCCCGGCGGAGGCGGCGGGGCCTGGCGGTCGGTGGAGGAGGAAGAGGCCAAGCCCGGTGGTGGAGGCGGGGCCCGCCAGTGACCATGGAGGAGAAGGAGGTGGGGCCCGGAGGTGGAGGAGGCTGATAGCAGATCAGGGCTGACAGGTAAGAAGTGTGCAGGGGTGTAACCAGCCCACCCGAGACCCTGCAGAGCCCAACATAGTGGTGGGCTCTGCAGGGTCACTCTCAGGTAGGCTGTGTGAGATCTCAGGTGGGTTCTGCAAGGGGCGTAACTAGAAATCACAGGACCCCATACAAAATTTTGCTATGGGGCCCTGTGATTTCTAGTTACACCCCTGGTTTTTGTAGAGACTTTGCAGGAGGACAGCACTCCAATACAGCGGCACAGGCAGAAGTAGAGGTAAGTTTCTAATTTCCTCTTTATAGAAAGAGCTTTAATTTAAACTTTCTGTTGAGCGACACAGTGCCTTTAAAAGAAATTAAAAGATGCACAAAAACAGAAGAAAAACAGTGACAACAAAAGAAGAAAAAAAAAGTTTTCTTCTTACAAAGGCTTACCAAAGTGTGCCAGTCATGGTTAATGAATTCACAAAACACTAAAAAGACCAGACATACAAAAAGGAACCTATGAAAGCAAATGTTTGATAAGCCCACATTAAAGATTCCCTGATCTCACGGAAACATTTTATTCATTTTGTATGCAGCCCTCTTCTTAAATGATTAGATCAATTTTCCCCGCGCTCCTGCCCCATTAGAATTGCAAATTTCCCAACCTTCCTAGACATTTGCAACTTATGGTGTAGCAGCAAACAAGATCTAATAATTAGTGTCTATTTCTGAAAGAAGTGCATATTTAAAGACTACAGGCAATTAACAACCAGGTTGTCCTGTAATCACGTACGGTATTAATTTGAGTGCAGCGCTGAATTTCATGCAAATTACTCTCTTAAACAGCGGCGGCTTTCGTTCTCTTGG